TCAGCTTTCTTTTGGTTAGTGTTAGCATAGTATTTTTCCATCCTGTTACTTTTAACTTATTTTTGTCTTTATATTTAAGAGGTGTTTTTATAGGTATCATAAAATTGCATTATTTAATCCCCAAGCTCTGCTCAGGTGCTTGGGATCTTCAAGAACTCTCTAACTCTCTAAGCTACCCACTTCTTTGTAGGACACTGATAATTAGAGCATCATTCCTCATGAGCCTCACTCTCCCCATGGAGTAACACTCAGAGAATTATTTCCACTTCCTCAGGACATCTTTTTTCCAAACAGGCATATCCAAACCTATGCAACTCCTCGGGCAGTGGCAGATCCAGCCACAGTAGATCAAGCAGGCCCATAGAGGATTACCCAAGGTCACCTGAGTAGCTACCTTGGAAAAAAGGTGAAGCACAGGAAATAGAAATCTAATTTCTACAGGGGAAGATTTTATTGATTGAAAAAACACTTATTTTCCATTTTAAGGAAGTGTTTCAACTAAGAGAGAAAAGCACAGGACCAACCTACAGTGAGTGGTCAGTGGCAGCCCAGGTGGCCCTTCGGGAAGGAGGAATGTTCCTGTGAAAGGGTAAGGAGCACTTTGTCTATGTCTTGTATATTAGTTTCCTATTACTATTGTAACAAATTACCACAAATTTAGTGACTTAAAACAAAACAAATTTAATCCCTTACAGTTCTGGAAGTCAGAAGTCTAAAATCATGGTGTAGGCAGGGCTGGGTTCCTTCTGGAGACTTTAGAGGAAAACTAGTTTTCTTGACTTTTTCAGTTTCTAGAGGCCACCTGCATTCCTTGGCTCATGTCCCTCTTAGCATCACTCCAACCTCTTGGTTCCATTGTCACATCTCCTACTACTACCTATACTGATCCTCCTGCCTCCCTCTTATAAGTAGTACTCTTGTGATACTGGTTGGGCCCAACTGGCTAATCAAGGATAATTTCCCCATCTCAGTCCCTTTTAACACACAAGGTAACATATTCACAGGTTCCAGGGATTAGGATGTGGACATCTTTGTGGGGTCATTATTTAGCTTACTACACTTAGTTACAGGTTAGACTAGCCATGGAGGCTGCAAGTCCACCAGGTCCTAGCTCTACCATGAAGCCTGTCCTGTCCAGATGTGTGTGAATTACCTTGTTCTTTGGATGTGAGCCTCTAAACTGCCTTGTGTCAGATGACTAATTCAGGTCCAGTCATCTCTGTCCAGAATGTCAAGGATCAAGTAGTATAGAACTCATATGATTAAACCCCAATTCAGGTTGCTTTCTTCAGGGAGCTGAGTAGGAACACTTAGAGAAGGGGCTTTGGGCACAGGAGTCAAGCAAAGTGGCCAAGAATATGAGTGGTAGAGGCAACCTCACAGGTTCTTGTCCTGATCTTGCTATATACTAGCTGAGGGGACTTTAACAAATGTCTTTTAACCACTTGGCCTTAGTTTTCACGTGTCAAATGGAGCTAAGAGTATCATCTTTATATTGTTATCATGAGAACTAAATATAAGGTAGTTTATGTAGAAGGCTTAATTAGCAAAGGGCCTGGCACAGAGAAAGGGCTCAATGAATACTGCCATCTTTATTATTTGAAGTCTTGGCTGTTCCCAAACAAGCTGTCTTGAAACTGACCTTTAGACTTGTCTTTGCCAGTGTAGTTCTCAGTTCATCTTTGAGGACTAGGGGACGAGGACATTGGCACAAATTCTGTCCCAAAGATGCAGACAGCCCCATTTGATCCTGTTTATTGTTATCCCTGTGGGAAAATACGACTGAAAAGACTGATGAATGGCCACAGTACTGTAAATAGCCAAAACCAGCCTCATGAACCATTATTGGTTTTACCCCATGGCCACGGGATGGTAGAATTAACCAGAGATCCTGTTTTGGAAAGTTGAAGAGGAAAAGTTAGGATAAAAAGAAGAAAAGTTTGTTACCAGAACCCTGGTACATGCACAAGGCTTATCTGAAGCGGGAATAAGTATGTAATGTTTCCCCCTCAAGCAGTTGAAAGATCGAAAACAGTAACTACGCAACCTGAAGTATCTTTCTTTTTTGAGGCTGAGGTGATTAATACAATGAGATAATTTTCAACATGTCATCAGTTCTTAGCATGAAGTTGTTTTTATCAACCATATGAAAAATGACTATAAACTGAGACCCACTTCCATGTGTGATTTATGGAAGTAGCTTCATTACATCATGGTGATACTTTAGAAAGTAATGTTGACCAAAAGATGCTTCTGCAAATGGTTTCCAAATTCTGATAACTTGCTGTAAAGAGTATAGCTTAATCAGTCCAATTCCACCTTTACAGCTTGTTTATAACCTGATATTTGGTTAAAATAAATGAAATTGAGGAGGTGGGGTAGGAGTAGTGAGAGGAGGGAAAGGAAATTTAAAGCTTGGGGTGTCCAGGCCTTGAGGCTGGAATGTGCACGTCCAACTCCCCCGTAACAAGGTGCAAAATGATGGATGCTCTGAGAGTTTATCAAGACGGTTAATGTGTTTAACTCATCAGTGACTGGAAAGAGCAGGGGACACCAGTTTGGGGATCGAGCCTCCCCTACTAGACTCATTTCAAGGAAAGTTATCCTCTTGGCTTCAGGTCATGAATTTGTCCCAATCCATGAAGTAAAATTAACTGAATTCTCAGAAGCCTTCTTTAACAGCGCTGAATTGAGTGTTACAGAGTTCCCTGCAGAAGAGTGACAGCCTCAGGGTAGGCCTTTACTTAACTATGTTATTTTAAAAATAATCAATACATAATGGCTGCTTTCCATAAAATTTGAAAATAGTTGAATTAAGGCTGTGAAAATCTAATAAACATGTTATAAATAAGACTTTTTTTGGCGAAAATACTGCATGAGTTATTCAGTGGTAAGGTTTTACTCCTATCATGTGTTTTGCCTCGATCCTTTTTTTTTAAAAACGATTTTATTGGGAAATTGGGGGACGGGAACAGCCAAGTTGTTGTTCTTCAATCTTAGTTGTGGAGGGCGCAGCTAGCTCAGCTCTAAGTCCAGTCACCATCCGGCCTCCCGTCAGCAGCTCGTGGCCTCTAAGCTCAAGGTGCTGTGTTCAATCTTAGTTGTGGGGGCGTAGCCTACCATCCCATGCGGGAGTTGACTCAGCAACCTTGTTACAAGCACGTGCTCTCACCAGCTGAGCCATCCTGCCGCCTGTTGGCAGCTCAGCTCAGGCGCAGCTCACTGGCCCATGTGGGAGTTGAACTGGCAACTCTGTTGCTCAGAGCTCGCGCTCTTAAGCCAACTCTTAACCAACTGAGCCACTCGGCCGGCCCCCTCTTTGATTCTTAAGGGTCAGCAAGAATGCTGTTAAAGAACAAATTTCAACTAGTAAATTTAAAGATCTGATTGGCTTTTTTATTAAGCGATTCATGAATCGGGCAGCATCTCATCTAGCAACTACAAGGGCATGCTGATGAATACAAAATGGAAGGTTTTCATAGGCAGATGGAGGGGGGACTAAGCAGTTAAAAAGAGTGGGTTGTTTTAGGCAAGAACACTTCTATCAGGCAGATTACCTCCCCAGTGCTGACCAGGGAATTGCAGTCTGATTGGTTTAAAAGGCCTCCTGGGAGAGGCTGAAACTGCAATTAGGTTAGTTCTTACATTTTGGTTTGGTGATGTGGCTTAGCAAAAGTAACTCCATTTTGGCCTATTCTTTCCCCCTCCCCTTTTTTTTCAAACAATGCTGAGTACTATAAAGTCCTGGAGAGAACCCCCCGCCCCAGGATTGTGCATCCTCTGGTTTATTCTCTGAGTTTAAGTTTCCTCAACGCAAAGACAAAGGTTCACCTCCCATTGGAAATACAGTCATTAGTATAAACCCAAAGCTCTTGTTGGCTGTAATAGGGTATATCTGTAGTTACAGTTCTCCAACATTTTACCTAACAATTTACTGAATCAAAACAGTTGTCCATTAATGGGAGGGGGAGGGAGTGAGGGAAGAAGGGGGAAGAGAATCAACCTGATCCTTTAACTATCTTCACTACTGATTTACCCAGTGACCTTTAGTAAGTACATTTTTCAAACATAATAAAAATGTTTATAATGGCCTTCAAGTTCCCCCATGATACTACATAACTCCTATAACATTAATATATTCACATGACTCCAAATAGAATGAATATTTTGAAGATGTGTATTTAAGTGATGCCTGATCTAAGCCTCCCAAACTGTGTGACTATAGGGTCCATCGGATAGGATCTATTTCCCTGGTGATTTTTAAAAAATTTTTTTCAATTTTATTTTTTTATTGGGGAATTGGGGGATGGGAACAGCTCTGGGGAATTGTGGGAAGGGGAACAGACAAGTTGCTGTCCTTTTGTTCTTCAGTCTAGTTGTGGAGGACGTTGCTCCACTGGCCCAAGTTGGCACCATCATTGCGCTCTTCCNGGGCGAGGCAGATCAGTCGCCGGCCTCTGGACGGCCGCTCACTGCGGCTGCTGGCCGCTCACGCTGGCTGCTGGCTACATACGGTAGCCCATGGCAACCCACTGCCACAGGTGCTGCAGCCTATGCCGTCGCTGGCAACTCACAGCAGTTGTTCAGCATCTTAGCTGTAGAGGGCAGTGTCACTGGCCCTCATATGTGGGATCTGAACCGGGGCCCTCTGGCGTCCCAAGCCAGCTCTTAACCAACGCGCCACTCGGCCGGCCCCTTGGTGATTTTCTTTGATGATCCTAAGGTTATGTCTTATCAGACTAATGAACTCATGATTTCTGGGTAGAGTCCAAGTCCCCAGAGTTCTCTTTGGTACTTGGTATTGACATGAATCATGAATTTGCGCTTCTAAACATTGAATTCCTCCTCCTTTCTTCCCCCCCACCATCTCTTTTATTTAATGAATAAGATTTTCTCTTTTAATTTTCTCTGAATAAGATTTTTTAGAATATAAAAGGCACCTATGTACAATTTTCTAAAACCCATATGCCAAAATAAAACATTACCACACTGACAGTAATTAGCAGTTTTCATAATTTAATGAAAAAGTATTGGTAAAAACGTGACATTTGAAAAAAGACTGTGTTTATCTTGGAAAACTGGACTATATAAGACAAAATGAAAAAAATTAACAAAGAAGGTTAAGAGGTAATACTTCAAACAACAGCAAAATGTAGCAAATACATTTTGGGGCAATTGAAATTTATACAACTGAAGGCTCCTTCATTTACCTAAGAAAATCCTGTAAAAATATTACAACTATGTTTCCCTGACTGAAATTATTTTAGTCAATACTATTCCAATGGCATTACATATGGAATTTGGCTAAAGCACTTTTTCAATGTTCACTTTTCCTCCCACTCACTCAGAATTGAGAGGCATGAAGGGACATGAGCTACTGTACTGGCCTCTAACAGGAGTTTATAACACAGCTCCATTATCACTTCACTGCCATGAAAGTGTCAAATTAATATCTAACCCCAGGAGAACTCCAGAAAAAAAGAAGCACAGAAACGTAGTGCATAAACAGGAGAAATTCTATTCCTCCTTTGGATAATCCATAGCTTTTTCCATTCAAACAAAACACAGGACACCTTCCACACGTTAGGGCATGTTCACACGTGTACACAGGTGTTAAAAGAAACATGCTGAAGATGTGGCCAAAGGAGACGCAAAATACAGAAGTTTCCAGAAAAGGAGGCAAAAACAAAAGCAAAGAAAGCCATTAACAAGGCTACAAGAACAAAAGTGGGTAGAGGAAACTGCTTTCCCTTATTGATGGGAAGAGGGGCCCCTGCCTTTACTGACTGGTGCCTATTGCAGCTGGGCTGTTCTACCAGTAAACTTAAAAAAAATTGAAAATGGCCACTTTTGTCTGAAAATTCCCACTACACTTTCCCAAACTAGAAGAAAGATAATATTAACTTAAGGCTAAGAAAAGAGAGCAGAGAATTATAGTTGGCTTCACATTTAAAACACTCTAACATTTCCCCCTTTTTTACATGGGAAGCAGGCATGTTTTATCCCCTCACCAAATGTAATCATTCTCTTCCTCCCAGGAATTAATCAAGGCAGATAGTTTGGGAACAGGGTAGAAGCAACTTCTGAAAAACGGCTCCAGCTTTTTGTTTGGGAAATTACTTCGGATTCAAAGTTGGTACAAAGCTAAATTATATCCATGTGTTAAACACATGCTTTCAAATTCTGTTTGACAATAAAAATCTGTTTCAAAATTAAAGCAGGTAAGAATACTTAACCTCTGTGCATTTTATATTTTAATTATACCTCAATAAAATTTTTATAAACATTAAAGCAGGTATACAAAAACTGTCAGCCAAACTTATTTAAGTCAAACTTATTTGAAAACAATAACACAAAAACCCTGACCTGGTACAAATCCCCCAGAAATGGTCTCACTTTGGGAAAGGCTCTGGGATCCTTCACAAATGCCTACACTGGGAGAATCAGAGCATTTCCCTTGGAAGTAGTACTTTCGTACTTTTGTAAACACTATCCACAAGTTAGCTTTTTATGCTTGTTAGCTGGGTGAAATAGTTACAAGTGTGTCCCCAACAAGCAAGTCTAGGAACAGGCACTGGACACTTATAAGCACTAGGAGTATTGACTTGGTAAATTAAGATCCTCTGAAAGGAACTCTACCTTGCACAGAGCAAAGGAAGAGTGTAGTTGAGTCTGACAGTATCTGAGATGTTGGCCCCTGGTCTTTCCCTGAGGAGGGTTTCCAGATACCAGCGGAGTTAGAAACTTCCTATAGATAGGAGCTCTGGGAGTCACATGCTGTAGCTTCAAAAGATAAGTAGTTTTAGTGTCTGGTAATCATGTCTCTGGCAAATCCATTAACAAGGATTCTTAATACATACGCGCATCAATGTGTTAATATAACTGTAAAGCTGCCCCAAAGTATTTACTGAACTAATACTCTGGGCCCAGCTGTTCTCACTAGTCTCTGGCCAAAAAGAGACTTTTGGACAATCTGCAATTCCTAAAATGTGCTTGTGAAAACTACACTTGAAACTGGTTCAGAAACCGCAAGCCAATTGACTGTGGAAACTCTTTATTTCTTTCATTACAATCTCTCTCCCAACATATGCCAGAAATCTTTTTAGTGTATAGGTTCTCCACAATATATGAAGAAAAGGCAGACGGAGTTATTTTCTTGGAAGTTGTTCATCACCTTTGCATTGAACTGTGGGAAAGAGGATATGTCTTGCTTTTAGTGTGGCAATCCCGTCTGGAGTCATGGGGAGGATTTTCCCTATCTGAGCTCTCTTTCCTTACCTTGACTTTCTCTTGACTCCCATCACTTTCTACTTCTGAATCACTTAGCTCCAAATCTGGGCAATACCCATCGTTTTCCTGATATGGAGCTCTCCCTGCAGACCGCCTGACAAGCTGCTTGCCCCAGAGCCGCTCCCTGGGGTTAATATTCTTGGTTGGCTTCCCACAATACTGGAGGCCCTCTGTGGTCCTCACCCACCTGTTGGTGGCCTCCTTAAAGGACCTGCTGAAGTGTTCCATGGTAGATTTTCTAAAGCTGCCCTGACTGGCCAAGTGGGAGCTGAGCATAGACTCCTGGCCACAGAACATCTCACTCGAGCTATCTTTTGGGGTGATATTCCCAGACCAGCTATCCTCCAGGCCATTAGACTTGGCAACCTTGGAGTTAGGCTGATTTTTCCCATTCCCAATGGAAGACTGCCCATGAAGGGCAGCCTGAAGGACCAGAGGCTTTCCCTGTGACTGCCCATGATAGAACTCTGGAGATGGAGGTCTCCAAGCAGGACTGGGATCCCTTGCTTCCCTAGAAAGGCCAAGACTGGCCAGCAAACGGTTACTCTTGCTCTCTAATGGATACCTGGGATAGGTTTTCATTCTCTTTTCTAGCGATTCCTGAGGCGCTTGCGTGCTCCTTGTATTTTGAACAGAGGAGTTGTTGTCAGGAGAGGGAGGCCCGTGATCAGGCTCTGTGGAGCTCTTTTGGCAGTCTTCTGGGGCCGATTTGGGCATTTTTAACTTGATGGTAATTCTCGGTGGTGGGTAAAACAATGAGTTTTCTAGTGCACTTGTCAAAGGATGCCCTGAGATAAAAAAGAAAGATCCATTTTAACAACTGATTTAAACAACGGCACACGTGCTCATGGCAGAGTGAGTTCACATACTCACTTTTCCAAAACGCTAACAAGCACCTGTCTCTGCGTGTACATCATAGTATAGCAGCTGGAGTGAGCTGAACTAGAGGTTGGGGTGGGGGGAAACGCAGCAATGCCAATGTTTGCTGTGTGACTCCCGATCTCACTACTTCTGCTCTCCTAGTCTGTAAAAAGATCACAAAGACTAGTGTGCTGCCTCCTATGTCCCCATCTCTGCCCCTTCCATTTATGAAAAGAATGTCACTAGCAATGACACACAAATAGGGTGTGTGTGTGTGTGTGTGTGTGTGTGTGCGCGCGCGCGCGCACGTGCATGTGTGTGGGTACTGTACAGCACTTAGGATGTGCCTTAAACATAGACATTTCAGACTCCACCCTCCAACCTTTCCTGGCCGTCCTAAATCAAGTCAAATACAAACCCCCAGGAACACAGCACAGGCTTTGGTGGGTGAAGAGTATGTATGGGTTTTAACCTGGCATTAGTAGAAGTGGTAGTGGGTAGTTCCTGTGTATTTTATGTCCTTAACCTAAAAAAGTTTCCCCACTATGAATGACCGCCATGGAGGTGTGGTGCAGATTTTGTAGTGGCAAGGCCGGTAGGAAAGGATTATGACAATGGCCTGTTATGGGCTTGGCCTGGGGGAGTACTGGCAATCAGTTACCTGGCTATGTCACCCTATAGTCATATTTAGAACAGGTCTTCCTCTCTCTATTATTTTCAGTGCTCTGGAATTAACAGCACTACCAAACAATTCCTCCTTGCATGTGACCTAGGGCTTTGCCCATTAATATCTTAATGCCACCTCACAAAAATGACATATAGAGAGGACAACTTTAGGTGCCCTAATGGGCACCATTTATTGCCTAAGGGTCCATGTGGAACACTCACAGCCCCCTTCTCTACCAGGGTCTGCCACCTATCGATGCCACAAGCATTATGGGGATAACTTGCACCACTGAGAAGCCACGTGGTCTAGGGGCCAATAGCACGGAGAGGCTCCTCCTGCCTTGTCTGTCAGGGTACCCTTGTGGCTAAGTGGCCCTGCTGCCTCCTGCTACACCATTCTGCTGTGACTCATGATACTCAAAAATACCTCAGAGCCTTTGATGCCTGACACCTCATTTCTGCTGTCTCTCTTGCTCTATGGCTGGCCCTTGGCAGGAGCTGGATTCTGCACAGGGAGGTTACACATGTCACAGTATATGACTGTCACCATTCCAGCCAAGCTCTCCATGCTCAGGGCACTGTAATTATGCTCACCTGTCTCTCTCACCAATAGGCAGCGTACCCTGCAGGCAGGGATTCTGTCTCACTGACTGCTCTATCTTATCTTCTAGCTCAGTTCTTAGTTCATAGTAGGTGCTCAACAAAAATTAGTGAATAAATGAAGAGACAAGAACCCAGATCTCCAAACTTCTAGCTAAGGATTTATTTTAACAGACTATTGTTATGATGGCTAACCCTGGAGTGAAATGTTTTCTGGAAACTAGGATTAGATACTCTCTTCTTGATTTCTAAATGGACGTTATGATTATAGAATAATTTTATGGCTCCAACTAATGGTCCATATATCTGTCTGGGACCTAGATTATCTGCCCTAGACCTGCAACTCCCCCAACCCCGCCCTGGGATTTCTTGTCTCATGAGTTGACAGTGGAATGTGCCACATTATATCAGGGTTGGACTAGAGCAAATGAAATATTTGACAAGAATTTTAAAAGATTTTTAAGTGAAACAATTGACATAAAATTTAAGTTGTTAAACAGAATCTATATACAGAGGGTGCCAAAAAAATGTATGTAGAGTTTAAGAAAGAAAAACTGTATTAAAATTGTAATACTCAATATACATTGATAACGAAAGATGAATACAAGTCATGTTTCACTTCTGCAATTACAAGAGATGCTCAAAGTGGTTACCATCAGCGTCCAGACACTTCTGATTATGGTGAACTACTGCTTGAGCAACGTTGACCAAAGCGTCCACTTGTATACATTTTTTTGGCACTCTAGAACATCTTTGACATATAGATTACCTTCAGAATTTTCCTCGTTAAGAAGCTGGGCATTCAAACTGAAGATCTGTTCCTGTACTTTGGTCTGTGACAGCTTCAGCTTTTCTCGTCGGCCTATCATGTAGCACAAATTTCGGACCTGAAAGCCCAACCCCAGCAGAGATTTCTGTCATGTGGTGCAAATCTGAGAAAATTATTTAGCTAAAATTTAGACAACTGAAGTCAGGTGGGGTGGGGAGTAGTGAGGAGAGAAGACAGAACCTAAAGGCTGCACAACGAGAGCCACTCCACACGAATTCACGCAACATGGGCAGTTGTGGGATCATGGTTCCCATATAAATTAGCAGCACAAGCAAAATGCTCCAATGCCACCTCCTGAAACCTACTCTCCCTGCAGTGTCCTGGGCTTGACAGTTATCTGCACAGCCAGGCTGGGAAGACTGAATGATGATTTAACATTTCAGCCTTCCCTGAGTAAACGATGGCAATGCTGGATCCAGTACAATTTTGTAATGAGTGCTGGACCAGCAGGATAAAGTTTCAGTTTCTAGCAGTTATAGACAAAGTCCACTGCTGGGAAGCCTGGAAGTGGCTTTTTTGTTCACTCTTTCAACTCAGCCACAAGGGTGAGATCCCCACTCTCTCATACTCCCCACCTGGACAAATTATTTGAGAAACTCTGATCTAGGGCTTTCCTGAACAAAATTCATTCTTTCTTCAGCCCGCAGCCTTATAAGTGTGTCAGTAAAATAAAACTGATCTAACTTAGGCTCAACAGTGAAAAAGTAAACCAAATGAAAACTTATTTCAAATTTACGGTTCATAGAGCATATAAGCAAGGCTTCTCCAATTCCCTGAATATGCCTGACAAAATTTAAACAGCCCAATATCTGGGGCCGTGATGAAAGAAGATAAGCAAGGACACAGAAGCCCACACTATAAATGAGCTGACCCTTAAAGAAACCAACTATAAGTGGGACCTCTATTTCCATGCAGACTGAGACTTACACACAAGTCACAACTGGTCTCCTTACCCTCTCTAGGTCTTGCCGTAGATGCATAAACATTCTCATGCGAGTATGAATACTTTCCTCTTTTGGTTGCATAAGGCCATTTTCTTCATTCTCCTTCGGAGGCAGTAATGCCTTATTAAAGTTACTTTTCCGCTTTAGTTTCCAGTAATTATAGATAAAGTCCATAATTAGTGTAGGCAGCCCCAGCTCTGTGGCCACATCTTCCACATTGACCAGGGTATAGAACTCCTCCTCCAGCTCCCGAAGTTTCTGTGCCCGCAGGCCGGTCTTCTCACTTTTGGCCTGGCTCTGCTCTGCAGCCCTGGGTGGAGGGTACTCGGCCTCCCCAGGTTTCTGCTTGTTTTCGCTGTGCTTGAGGCAGAATGACTTGAACTTCACTTCATCACCCTCATCTAGGATGGTCTTCATTTCTAGGTTGTGCTCAAAGGCACAGGTGACATGGAAGGCAGTGATGCAGCTTTTCACTGAACACTGAAGGAAGACCAAAGATGTGTCAAGGCAGTAGGGCTAGGGAGAACGGGGAAGCCTTATATACCTGGGCCTAAATTGAGAACTCAGGAAGCAAAGGAAAGACAGGGAGAAAGCTGATCCTAAATGGATCATGACAGAGGCTTTACAAGTAACCCAAGGAATCTGTTCTTATAGAAAACAGCAAAAACAGAGGCAAAAAACTCAAAAAGCTCCAAACTCCCCTTTAAGGTTTCAGCTCAAGCATTAAGTTTGTCTGAGAAGTCTTCCTTGATCCCTGTAAAGAGTCATGCTGTACCTATTCTGTGTCTCCTATATTACCTTATTATATGCTTCTATAATGGTACTTCTCATGCTGTACCTATAGAATAAATGTTAAGTCCCTGGTCATAGCTCTTAAAGACAGCAGCTGCATCATTCATCACGCACTGCCATCAACTATTGAACAAGCAGGTGCTCAAGAAATTCTTCTGAACAAATTATAGAAAAAAACAAGTCAGTACTATTGCCAGAGCATCTAACTAGTTCTAAAAAGACTAGTATCTAAGTAATCTAACTTCTTGAAATTGTTCTTATAGAGCTGTGCTCTCCAACATGGTAGCCAACCAGCCACAAACAGCTATTTACAGTATTTCCCCATGTATAAGATGCACCCTTTCCAGAAAAATTTGGGGTCTAAAAACTGGGTGTGACTTATGAAATGGTTGTAGATTTTTTTACTTGCATTTCCCACTTTTTTCGTGCTTGTGTTTGCGCTCATACAACCACTGTATAAGACACACCCAGTTTTTAGACCCCAAATATTTCAAAACAGGGTGCATCTTATACATGGGGAAATACGGTAGATTTAAATTAATTAACATTACACACAATTAAAAATTCAATTCCTGTGCTCGCTTCGGCAACACATATACTAAAATTGGAAAGATACAGAGAAGATTAGCATGGCCCCTGCACAAGGATGACATGCAAATTCGTGAACTGTTCCATATTTAAAGAAAAAAAAATTTCAATTCCTCAGTCACATTGTCCACATTCCAATCACACTGCACAGCACAGGTTTTCATCATTACAGAAAGTTCTATTAGACAGTATGGTGACAGGTAAGCTGAAATTAAGTTTACAATATTTTGCCATTCACAGATGCAACACAGACCAGGGAGAATCTGGCCCATGACTGCTGTACTCCTTCCTGTGCTTCAGTTAGCCTCAATTACCATTTGTTATGGTACAGCTTTCCTTCCAAAGATTTTAAACGCTTGGGTGCATTTATGCTTATGCAGAGGCAGGAGGGAAAGCAATGGAGGATCTGTTTCGAAGGATATAGTTGGAATGTCCATGGTTAAAGCCAAGTGTCAACTCTTTTGGAAGCCTGCATCTGGAGGGCAGAATGCTCAATTACCTATGTGTTGGGTTTTTGATAACTAAACATAGAGAGTGACTTTGGATATGAATAAACACTAAAGAAATGCAAACCCTGCCAGGTCTCCTTATAATAGACTGAGAAATTCAATACCTAAGAGAATCCTGACAACCATCAAAGCTTTATTGGGACAGATTCCATTTAAATTAATTTCACAGGATAAAGAATCCCAGGGATGGAATTCTAAGATCATCTTATCAAGCACCACATTTATTATTGCTTGTACTTCCTCTAAAAGACCCGATTTTCTACCTTCACTGCCCCCCTACCTCCCACTCTTTCCACTTTTCAATTAAGTGGTCATCAAGCCATTTACGAATCACTCTAGCATTCCCACAACAGCCCCCCGCCCCCGGCTTTAGAAAGCTCTGTTGGAAAAGTTTGTTACATTACACTGACATCTGTATCCTTAAAATTTCCATGTATTTGAAAAGCCTCATGAAAATGAGGATTTTAAAAGCCCCAAACGTATTTTTATCTGGCTATGTTTTGTCATCACATGGCTAAGAAACTAGCCAGTCATTTAAAACACAAGAAGCAAAAGGCGTTCTTTAGCAAAAGATTAACTGTGTTGGGCATAGTGCTCTTTTGCTACTTAATAACTGACAAAAATATGGGAAGAGAAAGCCAAGGTTCTTTTCTATTGAAGGGAATTAATGTGTGACATGAAACTACTACTAATGGGAAGCTAAAACAAATCACCTTTCTCAGTTCAAATTTACAGAATGTAGAAACATAAATATAAATTACTTAAAATAAAAGATAATACATGAGTAAGAATTTGGTATTTAGATGAAAACTGGAATGTCCTTAGGAAACTGCCATAAAATTCATCTAGTTTCAAAAAAATAAAGGACATTCTATGACATTTATAGCTGGAGGTCTATATATTTTGGTGGTAAAGGAGAAATGCCAACCAAGTTTTGGTGACAATTAAAAATCTTACTTTTTTCCAAAAACATGTATTTGGCACATTTTATTACACAAAATGCCTTTGTATACATCTCATTTATTTCTTCTGTAACCACTTAAGGTGATAGGGGAGGTATCATTATGCCTATTAAAAAACAGCTTTGGGGGCCGGCCGAGTGGCTCAGTTGGTTAAGAATTCGCTCAAGTGTGCGAGCTCTGAGCAACAGCGGTTCGAGTCCCAGCCCCCGCTGAGCTGCCGCTGAGCTGCCAACAGGTGGCAGGATGGCTCAGCTAAAAACAAAACAAAAAAAACCAAAAACAGCTTTATTGAGATATAATTTACATACCATAAACTCACCAATTTTAAGTATATACTTCAATGGTCTTCAGTATATTTACAGAGCTGTACAAACATTTCCATACGTATTCCAGTACATTTTCAACCCATCCCCCAAAGAAATATCTTGCCTATGTACAGTCACTCCCTGTTCCCAACCCCAGCCCTGCGCAACCACTAATCTACTTTATATCTCTATAGATAGGCCTAGTCTGGGCATTTCATATAAGTGGAACCATATAATATGTGGCTGCTTGTGTCTGGCTTCTTTCACTTAGCATGTTTTCAAGGTTCATGTTGTAACAAGTATTAGAATTTCATTCTTTTTAAAATATGGCCAAATAATATTCTATTGTATGGCCATACCACATTTCTTTATCCATTCATTATTTGATGGTCATTTGGGTTGTTTACACTTTTTGGCTTTTATGAAATAATGCTACTGTGAACATTTGTGTACAAGTTTTTGTGTGGACATACGTTTTCCTTTCATGTGTCGTAACAAGGTTTGAGGGAGGCACCTCACACAAGACTGTGAACACTCAATCATCATGCTGATGAACTACAAAAAAGATCCAAATGACATCATAATAACATTAAAATTAGCTAAAAGTCAGATCCCCGATCATAGGGATTAGCCTTGTTGAATGAAACTGGTTGTTTTTCTCTAGCTGCAGGTGCCAGATCTAGTCACTTGTTACTTTTGTAACCAGTGAGGCATCTCACATTGTACCTTGGAGCCTCTAACGTATTCTTCATTTCACTTATTGCCTTCTTTATTTCTGACTGGCTCCCCTTTATGTTTTCCATCTCCATTTTTATGTTTCTTATCTCTGTTGAAGTTCTCCCTGAGATCGAGCATCCTTATAACCAGTGTTTTGAACTCTGCATCTGGTACATTGCTTATCTCTATTTTGTTTATTTCTTTTTCTTAGAGCTTTACTCTGTTCTTTCATTTGGTACATGTTTCTTTGTCTCCCCATTTTGGCTGCCTCCCTGTGTCTGTTCCTATGTATTAGGTGGAGCTGCAATGTCTCCCGGTCTTAGTAGAGTGGTCTATATGTAGTAGGTATGCTGTGGGGCCCAGTGGTGCAGTCTCCCTCGTCACCTGAGCCGGGTGCTTCAGAATTCACCTAACTCATCAACTCTGACAACAAAAGATGGAAACTGACTACCACTATGGATACTGAAAAGAACAAGCTGAAGGGTTCAGAGGCAATGTCCAAAAAAAGGGTTCCAGAAATGGTCTGTACAATGGCAGAGTCCTGGGAGTGAGTGGGAGGTCTCCTGAGTAACCTTTCAGATAATGATGCTCTCTCTCACTGGGAGGGTAAGTCGGGCCAATTTGGTGTTAGCTCCCTCTACCACTTCTCATGGGGACTTACCTGAATGCAAGCCCCTGTCTTCAACTTGCACAAGTTACAGACTAAGGCCCACCGACTGGGTGGGATGTGGGATATCTTTGTGATTGGTTCCATCCTCTCGGGACAACCAATGCTGACCTATAAATAAAACACCACCATAAGGCAGAGGCACCATGGCATTCCTGAAGTACCTTTTACAAACCATGAATTATGTTACACAAAGCTCAGAGCATCAAAAAAAATGACGTGAGCCATGTCTCTTAAGGTTACTATGGGACTAAGAATAAATAAAGTTTGTCTCTGGCCACTGCTCAAACCTTTTATCATTTCCAGTAACAGAAACGTTTCATATATAGGATGAGAGGGCAGGAGTGGAGACTAGGCACATAAGCAGAAAGGATGAGAATGACAACATTTTTACACCAAAGTCTTTAAAATTACATATCTATTGACTCTTCTCTCTTCGGGGACACACAGCATCTTCTGCCTTTAAGCAGACATTCCCAGTAGGGAGGAGGACACTTCAAGGATTGGTGGTGAAATTTTTTGAGGCCTTGCCTTAGCAAGACCCCCCCCCAAAAAAATTACATATCTATCATCGGTTTACTCGACCCTCTCAGCCAAAGTGGTTCAAAGTAAAATTAAGTCTTTGGGAGAGTGCTGAAAGGAAAAGGGTGTTTCAAAAAAGGATGGAAAATTCTTTTCCACATGAAAATAAGGGGTCAAGCAACTTCTGGTAAAAAGTATTTCCTTTTTCTTTCTTCTTTTTTTATACAAACATGTACATGAGATTGTAAGAGAGACACAACTTTAAAAAGTGAAGGAGGCCGGCTGAGTGGCGCATTGGTTAACAGTTGGCTTGGGATGCCAGCTCTGAGCAGCAGGGCCCCGGTTCGGATCCCACAGGAGGGCCAGGGACGCTGCGCCCTCTACAGCTAAGATGGTGAACAACAGCTCAACCTGGAGCTGGGCTGCTCTGAGTTGCCAGCGACAGCGTAGGCTGCAGCCCCTGCTGCAGTGGACTGCCATAAGCTACCATGAGTGGTTGGCAGCCAGCCTGAGCAGCCGGCAGCAGGCGTGAGTTTTCGTGAGCTGCTGTGAGCCACCATTAATGGCCGTCCAATGGTTGGCGAGCAATCACCTCACCCAGGAAGAGCGCAATGATAATACCAACATGGGCCAGTGAAGCAACGCCCTCTACAACTAGACTGAAGAACAAAAGGACACCAACTTGTCTGTTCCCCTTCCCCCAATTCCCCAATAAAATCTTAAAAAAAAAAGTGAAGGACTGTTGAATAAGGATGGTTAAACTAGCACAAGTTCTGCCCACACCAAGGAAACCAACAATGGAAAGATCAGAGAGATCTTGAACAGCCCAAAAGGTACTGGAAACCAGGTAGTAGAAACCATAAGAGAATGTCAATAGGTGTGAAAGCTTCTTTTACTTTTAAAGAACTCTTCTTGAGTCATATTCCAGACTTTTATATGCTGAGAGAGCCTGCTCTCTTAGCAAGGGATTTGTTGCTGGAAAACAGTCACTCTCAGGCCAGAGACCAGAAAGTTCATGTCGCATATCTATAAGCTAGATTTTCTTGGCAAGAAAAAGAAACCACTAGTCAAGTATTTTTTAAAATACTGACTTCTATATCCATAAGAATACCACAGTATGTATCTAGAACTTTCAGTTTAACTTTGTGAGCTTGATTGTTGTGTACCTCCCCTGGTACTGACATTAACAAGAATAAAGCCAGGGAAATTTTGAAGAATGAATTATTGATATATTATCATCAGCTCCCCCATGAACTGAATTCTGTAGTCTCTCTTGTCCTACAGTTAAACTGCCTAACAAATTTGCTGGCTTGGATAGGGCCTGGGGAAAGAGGGTGTGAGTGGGATTTCCAAACAGGTTAAAAAAAGGGCAGCCATAAGAAGCAAGGAGAAGTACTGTTTGGAAGCCCTTTTTAATCAACTTAGTGTACACACAGCCCATCAAGAAATACTAGAAACTGAAGAACAAGATGAAATAATGAGGGATGGAGTTTTAAATAAAGAAGCTCTTAAACAAATGTTGAATCCAAGCTCTGGAAATAACGTCAGATGTCAAAAGGCAACCATCACAGGGGGTTGGGGGGAAAGAACTGTTGCTTACTTTATTTGTAATAGCCTAAAACTGGAAACAACTCAAATGTCCATCAAAGGAGAATTGATAAATAAATCATGGTATATCCATACAATGGAACACTACCCAGCAATAGAAAGGAATGAATGTTGATACACACTACAACATAGAGTGCTAGCCAGACAGCAAAAAGTGCAAAAAGTATGATTCTATTTATATGAAGTTCAAAAACAGACAAAACTAATACACAGTGATAGAAATCACTCTTGGGTAATAGGGACACAGAAAGGGACTGGAAAGTGGGTATGAGGGATCTTTCCAGAGTGTTCCATGTCTTGGTCTGGGTTGTGGTTACAGATCCACACATGTGTGAAAATGCATGAGCCCCTACACATAAGATTTGGTATTTAAAGGTAAATTTTACCTTAAAAAATCTGCTGCTCAGTGGCCAAGACATGGAAACAACCAAATTTTCCTTCAATAGATGATTGGATAAAGAAGATATGGTACATATACACAATGGAATACTACTCTGCCATAAGAAAAGAGGAAATACTGCCATTTTCAAGAACACGGATGGATCTTGAGATTATTATGCTAAGCGAAATAAGTCAGAAAGAAAAAGCTGAGAACCATGATTTCACTCATATGTAAAGCAACAAACAAACAAGACAAACAAACAAACAAACAAACAAAAACTCATAGTCACAGACAACAGTTTAGTGGTTACCAGAGGGTAAGGGGTGAGTGGGAGTAGAAGAGGGTAAAGAAGGTCAAATATATGTGACGGAAGGAGAACTGACTCTGGGTGGTGAACACACGATGCAATATATAGATGATGTAATACAGAATTATACACCTGAAACCCATAGAATCCTACTAACTAATGTCATTCCAATAAATTTAATACGTAAAAAAATCTGCTGCTCATACCCTGTTTTTTTGTGCCTCCACTGTCATAAAAATTTATCCAATTCCACTGGCAGTATCACCTATAAATTAATCAGCATGGGATTACATGATTACTTGTATCCAAGAAGGATGTGAGGGAGCTGAAGTAGAAGCATGATCACCTCAGAAACACGGGCAGGCATGAAGCATCTCCATGAAGCCTGAGGCAGTCTGAGTATTGTGGGAAACGGGGGTACCCTGGAGCAAACGGCCTCACAGGCCTGGATGAGTTCTTACCTCTGGAATCCACAGGGCACAACTGACATGAGCCCATTTATTTCCTGTCTTGTTGGTTTTCAGAGCTCCACCTTTCTTTGGGCATAACACACACTGTGGATGAATGCCCACGACACAGGAGCGACACAGCCAGCTGCCTTCTGGGATCTTAAGGATGCCATAACAGGCCTGGAGACACGAGGAGAGGGGAGAATGGTTAACATTCTTCTCACCAGGGTTCATGTCTGTTCTCTGGTATAGTCACAGAGTATCCTCCACTTTTAGGAGAAAGAGGCAAATAAAGCCAAACAAGCTCATATCCACAGGATTTAGTAATTTTAAAACATTCCAAAAAAAAAAAAAAGGTAACTTCTAGCATCTGTCCTAAGATCAGCATGTCTGTTTGTGAGAACAGAGTAAGACTAGAAGGGAATACATGCCAAGACTTGCCCAACTGTTATCTGAGTTAGGGGGTTACATATATATATATATATATGTATGTATATATATGTATTTATTTTTCCTCTTTTTAAAAGCTTCTTCAGTGATTATTATAATTAGTCGGCCACATACTTATTCAACAACTTCTACATGTCATGCCATGTTGTGATCAAGAAAAAAGTGTTAGAAAATAAACAGAATGAAACTTCTGAGAAGCAAATGAGCTGATGTTTAAAGAGCCTAACTGCCTGGTACACAAAAAGCACTCAGCAAATTGTAGTAATTATTTGCTTGAGTTGAAGAAAATGGGCTTGTGAATGAATACTGAATTGAATAGAATATTAAACTAATCACAATACTCCATAATGAGTTTTGGAAGCTGCTTCAAACCCTTTGTGGAATGAAATTGGACAAATAAATGAATTACTGGGGGAGAGGAGGGAGATTAGTTTGGAAAACTTTCTAGATTTCCTTTTCATTACCTCCAATTATGCCCATCCTTCCCCATTTACCGCTCTACTCTCACCATTAGAGACCAAACCTGGGGACCACCTGGCTCCCCATGTGGCCTGGGACACCCTCCACCACTGTGACTGATTTACCATAGCAGCTTCAAAACCTGTGCCTGCCCCAGGTGGTTCACCCACAGCTCAGATTCAAGTTACATCAGTTACCATCATGTCACCCCTCAACTGGTCCCCTTTCCCAACTCTCTCTATCCATATCACCACCATGCTTTCCAGCTTCCAGATCCAAATTCCCACACTCATATTATCCACTTTCCTTCACCTATTGTCCCTGGGGCTTAGTAGTCCTCCCTACAGAGTGACCTCTAGACTCTGATCTTCTTTATCCCTACCACAGTTGCTCCATCCAAGTCCTCATCACGTCATGCCTGGATTGATTTGTTTCTAAATCCTTTTCCTCCCTTTTCACACCTTCAATCCTTCCTCTATTTGTCTGCCATATTCTTATTAAAACAATGATTTCATTCTATTGCACAGCAACAAACCCTTTAGAAAGAAATTCCTTCTGCTCACCCCCACCCCCTTCTAAACCAGGGGTTGGCAAACTACCTGTGGCCTGTTTTGTAAGGCCAAAAAGCTGAGAATGTTTTTCATACTTCTAAAGGGACATTAAAAATTATGTAACAGGGACTGTATGTGGCCCTCAAAGTCTAGAATATTTACTATCTGACCCTTCAAAGAAAACGTTTGCTGGCCCTGGATCTAAAGCCTGCTGCTCCTCACCTCACTTCTCAGGTCACTGTAGCCCCGTGTCTGTTGCATTTTTTGGCCTCTGCCCTCTACTCAGTGTGGTTCCCCTCACTAGGTACGTACGTAGTCTGTATCACACAGTCTCTACTTTGGCTGATATATTTCATCTCCTCACTGAGATCTTAAGGTCACTGGGGGTAGGTCCTTCATTTTATCTGGAATGCTCTCTATACTGAGATTGAGCAGGTAGGTTTGGTAATACAAATTAATTTAGCTCAAGAACTGAAGCTGGAGTCCAATCAGGCTGCTCTCACAACAGCAGAGCATCACTTTAAAAGTTTCCAACTTTCAAAGCTTTCCTTTCTCTGAGGTCCAGAAAGATTGTTAGGAAATGAAAGCAAGTTTCCTTCCTAAAACAGAGCCTCTTTCAGACCAGCAGAAGAAAAACCAATGGCTGGTTCTAGGAATACCCTTTACCTCCTGGGTATTCTATTGGGCAGAAAATCATTTACTGAGTCTTGTGTACTTATTCATGGTCATAAGATCATAGAAGCTTGTATTTCATAGCAGCGGTTCTCATTTTTTTTTAGACCACAAAATCATGGAGGTTGTGGACTCCTGAGAAAACTGTACACGTGCATGAACATATGTTTTGCATACAATTTCAGGGGGTTAATAAACTCAGTGCCAAACATTATATACGACAGATATAAAAACCATGAGCATGTACCTTCAGGCAAATTTAAGCCTCAGTCTGAGTGTTCAATCCCTGGGCTAAGAAGCAGAAAATGGAACATATAAAGGGACTTGGAATGGTCTCAATTTTCACATTTTTTAATGAAAAAATTTAAGTTCCCTGTTAAAATTTGAAATCTATTGATGTAAACCTCTCTTTTTAAGTATATTAAAGGCACAGAGGACAAACATTTGCATAATATGGTGGTATTAAAGAAGAAAAATTCTGTTTAATAAATGTAGATGTCAACATATTCCCGATTCTGTTAAGGAGTAAAACAAATCTTCCAAATCATTTTAAGTCATTTTTCAGTCAACAGAGGGAGCTCTAACCTAAGTAACTCTTCAGAATTCAAGTGAATATATTCACTTTGGAGGAATCTCTTCTATATGAAACTTTATGTGGCACAACATCCAGCTTTACTACATACCAGCTACATTCTGCCAGGCCTAGTCAGGTGTTACTGTCACATTTTTCTACGTGATGAAAGGGCATCATTTATAGTCATTACTGGATATGTTTTCAAAACAAAATACCTATGAGGAGAATTATTATGCTACATTTCATTTTGTTAGTCAAAGAACCTTAAAATAATTCCTTAATATTTTGTCCCAACTGTGAAGGAGAAATACAGAAACTATATACAGATGACCTTTGTACTATTCCCTTCAAGCCTACTACAGATTGACAATCATTTATCTGAAAACCCTAGGGTGAGAAACATCAGGAAATTCAGGATTGCTCTGATCTTGGGAAATACAGTACATACAAGGTATATTACCTAAGCCCCCAATGGGACCAGGGGCAGTACCATATAATCAAATACATTATTTCTCTAAAAAATACATAAGTATTTACACAAAATGGGATAAAGACTATAAAACAGCCTCATGTTGGGTGAGTTCTACTATTGCCCCCAAATCAGTTTTGGTGCTAAACTTAAGCAAAAATTTGCAGTTTTCAGAGCTTTAAAAACTCGGAATTGCAGAAAAGGGACTGTGGACCTATACTGTCAGATACCTAAGTTCATCTTTATATAGTCAAGATTTTCTCTCTCACTGAGGGTGTGACATAAATGACAATAATTGGTAGAGTGAAGATACATTTTTGAAATTCAGTCTTTTACAGGACAAAAGTAAAAACGAAGAACCAATTGGTCACAGAATAATTTCGAGTACCTTCTAATACAAAGTAAGGTTAGGTTAGACGGCCCAGGGAATTAAAATAGTCTTAAGCCCTGGTTTCTATCTCCTGTGTTATATAATCCTTTTAGTCATTTTGTAGCCAGAGTGATATTTCTAAAATACAAATCTGATTCTTCAGGGTTCATAGGACAATACCGAAGTTCCTTAGTTTGTGAAAGAAGGCCCTTCACATGTGTCCCTTGTGTCCTTCTCTACCCTCACTCTCTATGCCTTCCTGGCCCCACCTAGCACTCTCTATAGTTCTAAACTGCTCAGAGTTGCCTCCAACATGCTTTGCCCACTCCTTTACCCCATCTGAACATGTTGTCCTTTCTGCCTGAACATCTGCTGCTTTATCTGGCATCTCTTTTTGGCCATTAAGATTCAGCTTGGATGCCACTGACTGAAAGTTGTCACTGACCCCAATCTGTCCCATGTATTTCCACAGCAGCATGGACTTCTACCTACTAAAAACACTTGGTGTATTATGCAAAATGGACAGTTTCTGTGTAGGCCCTACAGTAGACTCTGATATCCCTGGGGGTGAACACCATGTCTGCCACTTTGTCAATGACTGTGTCTTTAGCATATAGCACAGTCCTGGCACATGAATGGTGTTGTGTACCTATCTGCTAGATAAATGAATGAAACATCCAACAGGTTCAGAAGAGTGAAAAATCACTTGGGATAGGGGAGCTCAAGACAGGATTTTAACTAGATCTCAAAAGATATATAGAATTTTGACAGTTGGAGGTGGGAGGAGGCATTTTAGATTGTGGCCTAAACAGGGAGACAGGGCAGAGTCAGGAATACCCATCACTGCCCCCTTGAATCACCTTATTTCGCTGGAGCACAGGGCTTGTGGGGGAAGAAAAGGAAAGAGCTGAAAAGAATGTTGATATCATCACTATCATTATTATTCATTAAAAAGGCAGTGTGGTAGAAAGAATGACAAATAGCTATTAGACCTTGGTTAAAGTCACTTCACCTTTCTGGGCATAACCTGTAAAATTGAGTCGTGGGACAGTCCTTTACAGTCCTAAGATTCTACGATCTTTAAAAGTGGAGTGGATCTAGCTTCCTGGGAGTGGTATATGTGGGAGATGGGAGAGGGCTCCAGGTGCTAGGATAAGGAGTCTGAACTTCCAGACACAGGAAGTATAAACTCTATAGTTACTGACCATGGTGAAGCTGATGATGTAACAAGGATTTGAAGGTAGAGGAGAGACTCTCACGTAGGCAGCAAGGAGACTCCCCAAGGCACTGAAGGAGCCAATCTCAATGGCATGGGCATGAAGGGACATAATGAACACCTGGGTGTAGTCCCTGGGGTAAAGTTAGTAAGTCACCCTGGGGATCGCAAGAAATATTGTTTCTAAAGGAATTACTCAGGAACAGCCAGGTCAAATCTTTATTTTCCCCCTAAGTGCAAGCTACTACCCAGATATGGGTGCTGGAGATCATTAGTGAGCTTTATCAAGGCTGACGGTGGGGAGGTGGTAGTCTCAACTCTCACTAACCTGATGCACACAGACGTTACACTTATCACAGAACACCATATCATTCCCTTCTTCACTGTCTGGAGACCGGCACACATCACAGATCACGTCTTCATCATACTCTATGCCTAGCCCTTCCTCTGTCTTAATAGCATGGTTCATATTTTCATGGCAGTGGCGTTCCAGGACTTCTATTGCCTTTTCCATAAGATTCTCATCAACTGCCCCATAACCTGCACAGAAATACAAACAATCAATTAGTTATTATGACAGCCCATCAGTTAGCTGTCATTCCCAAATCACATACTGTGAGCCCGGTGCAGGTGTAAGGATATTCTAAAGGATAAAACCATCTTTTCCTTGATCTAAAACCACCAGATTTCAAGGAATCATTTTACTAGAGCTATTCTAATATTTACCTAATATTATTCTAATATTTACACTAGTGTTTGACACATGAAGGAGAAATATATTTCACCATATTCCTTGTAAGATATATTACTGACCCTTTCAATTTTGTCTAAATGCTAGCCAGTCTCCTCCTAAATCTCTGTATTTCCTCTTAGTCCCACTGAGGGAGGACTTTCACTGAGCTTTGCAATTTTGAGGACTTTAACTTATAGCATAATAAAATAATTAGAATCACATAACTATTTGGATATAAATAATCACACTTAGCAAATTAGTCCCAATGAGCACATCTAATAGTTACACAAGGAAATTTTCAGACAAAAAGGTATTAAGTCATAAAACAAAATTCTAGGTACTGTATATGTGATTATATACATGAAATATTTTGTTTTTCAAACCCGACTTTTAAAAAAATCCAATAATATTTTCTAATGTCAAACTCTAATATAAAACAAACCTATTTGCATTTATAAAAGTCTGCAAATTCTGAAATTACATTTTTTGCCTCTTAGTTCCTTTTCCTTCTATAGTTTTAATTTTTCTTAGTCTTTCATACTTAATAACCAAACTATAAAAGATTCATATGGTGGATATTGATAAAAACTAAACATTGTTTTTGCTTGGTGGGGTACTAATGATTTTGTGAGAGGACACATATATTTATTCTAACAGCTTGTAAACTCAGGAATAATTCCCAAAATGAACCAAAACAAATTTACCTAAGTATTCTACTTCATTTGTAATGTAAGATATCTTAAGGAACTTTGAAATTCCACATAAATTACCTTTTTTAATGTTGTAGATACTTATAATCAAACAAACAAAAAACTACACAGGTAGTATGTTTCAATTTTCCAGCCAAGACAAATCACACATTTTTTTCTGGAGAGAAGGAGTATAGTGTCTGGTTATAAGAGCACTTGGATTCAAATTCCAATTTGACCTCATATTGGTTATGTAAACTTTGACAAGTTATTTATCTTCTTTAAGGCTTAGTTTTCTTATCTATAAAATAAGGGTTACACCAAACTCACTGATTTCTTGTAAGGTTGAGATGAGGTAATGTTCATACATTGCTTAGTATAGTGCCTGGTATGTATTTTTGTTTTTTAGCTGAGCCATCCTGCTACCTATTGGCAGCTTAGCAGCTGCTCAGCTTGGGCTGGCATCGAACCGCTGTTGCTCAGAGCTCAAACTCTTGAGCGTGCTCTTAACCAACTGAGGTACTCGGCCAGCCCTATGCCTGGTATGTAATAAGCACTCAATTTTTAAAATTCCTTAATTGGAAGCAAAAAATATGCTTAATTTAACATTGTTTTTAAAAGTTTATTTTAAGCTCTTAGAAGCCTCACTACAATATCATTCACCCTAAAGGAATGCTTGAGATAAGGCAATCCACTTTTAAAACTCGTCCAAGCCTAAATGCAGTGTGGTATCCTGGATAGGATCCTGGAACAGAAAAAGGTCATTAGTAGAAAAATTGGTAAAATCCCAATAAAGCTTGGAATTCAGCCAATAGTAATGTACCTGTGCTGGTTTCTTAGCTTTGACAAGAGTACCATGGTGAAGTGAGATGTTAGCATTAGAGGAAACAAACTGTGTGAAGGGTATACATAACTGTATTAAATGTGCAACTTCTCTGTAAATGTAAAACTATTCCTAAATAAAGTTTATTTTAAAAAACTCGTCTAAAGAATTAACTGCAAAATACCAAAGAGACCTTGTTACAAGGTAGTGTCATGTCAAAGGCAGCATTGTAATGACTGTAATGTACGTATATGGATGTTATACGGTTCATAAACACCACACCTTGAGCCATCAATCTACTTAATTATGCCTCCATACTCTGGTTTTCCCTTTCTGTAAGTCTTTTATTCTGTTCTTTGTGCTTCTCACCCTAAATTGACACCCCCTCTCCTCTTAGAGGGCAGAGCAAGAGAAGACATAAAACAAAAAGTTTTAAAAATCAAGGAGTAAGTATTGGTTACTGGCAGGATAAGTACCACCATTATGCCAAACTGGATTTATTCACTTTTAATTTTTTGTTCACATGTTCAGATACCAACCTCAAAAGAAAGAAAGTAAAAAAAGAGGGGGGGAGGGAGGGAAGAAAAGGAAAACCATTGATCCTTATTGTACTAACAATGAACAAATGTGATTCAAACAAAAATGAAATCAAATGTATCCTTCACCATATCTCATATGCAATATTAAAAACCATCCACAGTTTCACAGGACCACTTGGACCTAAACACTGCTCAGATTGAAGACAGGTCAAAAAGAGTTCTGTGTTAAGTATAAAGTGAGATAGTTTCCATTCAGCCTAGGATCTCCCAGCATTGCCAGTATGACACTGTATACACTACATTCTCTTTAAAATTCCAAGGTTTTTTGTTTGTTTTTGCTTTATTTTATTTTATTTTTGGTAACTACATAACCACTCTAGAACTCGCTGGAAGTAGCTAAGAAATGCTTTGGGATGTTTTGCCCTAGGCCTGCCATTCTTCCAAGCAGCAAAATTATGAGTCCTACATTAAGTCGCCCTGGTCATTTCAGCCTGTCAGTTGCAGTGGTGCTGCCTAATGCTGAACTTGGAAGTTCTCTCCATCAAGAGGAGGTGGTAGAGGTGCTACTACCTTTGGCCCCGCTCTCTGAGTGCTTTTCAGTGCTGAGTGAGGAACCAGTCTTAAAATCCTTCTCAACCAGAAGTCCATGAGCCATGAGCAGTCTCACACTCAGAATTGGGAAACAGCCTTGTGAAACCTACATGCCATCTCTTATCAGTGCTATTCACCATGAACAAGGAAAGAAAAGATCAGATTTAAATTTTATTGCTCTATTTCATTTCAATATAGTTATGCGGTTCAAGATATGCCTCATTAAGATAAAATCAAAGAGAAAAATAAACAAAAAGGCCAGAAAAGAAAGGAAGCCACAAGATGAAAGCAAGTTAAATGGTCCTGATAAGTTAAAAAAAAAATCACATGTTGAGTCAAGGAGCAACTTACTTGTGAAAAAACAACTTACCCATTTCAGCAAGGTCCTCATTGAATGCCTGGAGCCAGAAGATGTCCATGTCGTCTAGGTCATAGCGGCACATAGATGCCGCCAGCTCCGTAATGTTGATATAGCCAGGCTCCACAGTCTCTGAGGTAGAGCACTGGATATACTTCCGGGGCCGGGTAAACAGAACATCCTTTACTTTCTCGGCTACAATCCTAGAAAAGCAAAAGACAGACAGTGATAACAATTAACAAATGACAGATTGCAGGCACTGACTGACTGACTGGATAGGCCCAACAGCACTCAGGTCATGAAGTGGAATAAAATGCTCTCCCTTTCTACCCTGTGGAAATCTGCTGTTCTGCCAGCTGGAAGGTATGGCAGATCCCTTTCCAGAAAGCAAATTGTTCGGGCCGGCTGAGTGGCATGTTGGTTAAGAGGTGGCTTGGGACACCAGCTCTGAGCAGCAGGGCCCGGGGTTCAGATCCCACATGGTGCAGTGACGCTGTGCCCTCTACAGCTAAGATGGTGAACAACAGCTTGACCTGGAGCTGGGCTGCTGTGAGCCGCCGGCTATGGAGCAGGCTGCAACCCCTGCTGCAGTGGGCTGTCGTAAGCTACCATGAGTGGCCGGCAGCCAGTGTGAGCGGCCGGCAGCCGGTGTGAGCTGCCAAGAGCTGCTGTCCAGAGGCTGGCGACAGATCTGCCTCACCCGGGAAGAGCGGAATGATAATACCACCATGGGCCAGTGAAGCAATGTCCTCCACAACTAGACTGAAGAACAAAAGGACAGCAACTTGTCTGTTCCCCTTCCCCGATTCCCCAATGCTGTTCCCTCCCCCAATTCTCCAATAAAATCTTTAAAAAGAAAAAAAAAGAAAGCAAATGATTCTACAAATTCAGTTTTGTCATATGCTGTGAACACTGACTGCTAATGAAATGTTTCATTTACCCTCATGGCTCCTGGGTCCCTACTACCATTCATTTTAATAAAATGGTGCATTTGTGTTCTTGGTACAATGGCCACTAAGTTTATGAAGGGGTGATACCAGCACAAAGGTACAGCCAGATTCTATGCCAAATATATATTTCAGCTCATGCTTTTCTGCCACGAAGGCAATACTGGATGGTGGTAAAGAATACAGGCTATAGAATCACACAAGCCTGTTTATTCTACCACTCACTTATATGGTGATTTTGCGCAATTACTTAATTTCTATATGGTAGTTTTTTTAGCTAAAAAATAAGGATGATAATAATAAATTGTGATAAAATAATATCAAACTTTTAGGGCCATTTTGACAACTTTATGAAATAAAATATATAAAGTGCTTAGCAGTGTATAGCAAAAAATAAATGTTCAATAATGTCATTGTTGCTGCTATATTTCTTATTTTCACTGTTTATGTAGGTATGTTAAAGCCAAGAGTTCATGGACTTACACAAACTTAAGGCATTTATTTCCCAACCATAAATGATAGTGATGATAACTCTGAGCCAGAGTAACATGATGGGAAGAAAGATTTATGTTCTTCCATCGACTTCCTCAGCAAGCCTGAGCAAACCCGTATTTCTCCTCATCCCTTCTGACACTTAACACCAAGCAAGGGAAGAAAAAGAAGTTTCTCATAGCAATGACCTATTCTACAACCAATGTTTTAGGTACTGCATAAAGCATCAGAAAATATACCCAAGAAGAAATTTGGATTATTATTCCCTGGCAATTTTAAAAGACAAGGTGGGTCATCCAAACAAGAGAGAAAGAAACCAATATTATTTTCATTATATTATGATGAAATATGTTTCTCTGTAAGGCTTCTAGAGCCAGTTTCTTTACTCTAGAGTTACTATACATTTAGAAGGATTCATAAACATAAATGCATTCATATGGATACATATATACAGGCAAAGCTTACCCTGTAAATATAGAGTAAATATTTCCTCATAGGCATTCTTCTAAAAGCTTATGATTCCAAATAATATATGTTGAATAAAGCTAGTAACTATACACATTTACACGTTAATATTTTTAGCAAATGGAGTTTTTAAAGCCAAAGGCAACAAATATTTGAAGAAAAAGCAGAACCCTATAATATTAATTGAAGCTAAAAATTTGGGAACTGATATGAGAGGCCTGCTTCCAACTGAAATGAACCCAATTGAAAAAGGACAAGACAGGTATATAAATTCTCCAGAGACTATGAGATTAAATATGCTGTGCTTTTTTGATGCATGGCATATGAAGTAGTTTTAGAATAATTTCTTTTCAAGATTCATCTTTTTCTAAAAGAAAGAATATTCTGCTACCACCTCAATTGCCTCAAATTCTATGTGGAGCAAGGTACACTATACATGTTTTAAAATTAAACTAATACGTTTATTAGGCTTCTGGAAGAAAATGAAGGGGAGTATCTTTATAACCTTGGGGTAGGCAAAAATACTTTAAATAAGACACAAAAGTCATTAACCGTAAAGGAAGAGACTGAAAAACTGTTCCTCAACTATACGAGTATATAACAAACTCTTACAAATTAATTAAAAAAAGACAGAAAACCCAACTAAAAATTGGGCAAAAAACTTGAATAGACACTTGACAAATAAAGCTATCCAGATGGCAAGAAAATTTTTCTTTTTAAATTTCATTGGGGAACAGCCATGGTCATTGGTTACACATTGCTTTCATGCTACAATGGGCATAGTTGACTCTTTTAAGGAGGGCACAGCTCACAGTGGCCATGTGGGGATCCAACCGGCAACCTTGGTGTTATCAGCACCACACTAACCAACTGAGCTAACCGGTCACCCCCAAGAAAACTTTTTAAAAGCTCTCTACCTCATTAGTTATTACAGAAATGCAAATTGAGGGGCCAGCCGGATTGCGCAGTTGGTTACAGTGCGAACTTTGAGCAACATGGTCACTGGTTCGATTCCCACATGGGCCAGTGCGCTGCGCCTGAGCAGAGCTGCTGCTGAGCTGCCAACGGGTGGCCAGATGGCTCAGCTGGTGAAAACGCATGGTCTGAACAACAAGGTTGCTGGTTCAACTTCTGCATGGGATGGTGGGTTGCGCCTCCTCCACAAGTAAGATTGGACACGACACAGTCAGCTGAGCGACTGCAAGCTGCTGATGGGCGGCTAGATGATGGCGACTGGACTTGGACCTGAGCTAGCTGTGCCCTCCATAACTAAGATTGAAGGAAAACAACTTGACTTGGAGCAGATGGGTCCTGGAAAAGCACAATGTTCCCCTTTCCCAATTTCCCAACACTGTTCCCTTCCCCAATTCCCCGGTAAAACCTTAAAAAAAAAAACGACAAAAGAAATGCAATTTGAAATCAATCACTGTTCCCCACCAGAATAGCTAAACCTGAAGACTGACCCAAAACTGACAATACTTATTGGAGCAAGTAGACCTTGCACATACTGCTAGTGGGAGCGTGAATTGCCACTCTGGCAAACTATTTGGCAGCAGATATTATAGCTGAACATACACATACCCTAAGACCTAGAAAACCCATTCCTAGGAATATATTTAACAAAAAAGTACACACATGTCTACCAAAAGATGAAGAAAAATGTCCATATTAGCATTTTTCATAATAGCTGAAAACTGGAAGCAACCCAAATCCCAAATATCTATCAAGAACAAAGTGGATAAACAAAATGTGGTATATTCACACAATGAAATACGACACAGAAGTGAAACTTAATTCTCTACTACATGCAATAGCATGGATGAATCTCAAAACCACAATGATAAACAATATGAAGTTCAAAAACTGCAAAAGACGATCACCTAGGGTGACAGAGGTTGGTCAGTGGGTAGGAGCAGGAGGGATTCTGGGGTGTTGGTAATGCTCTATTTCTTGATCTGAGTTGTGGTTAAACGAGTGTATTTAATTCATGAAAATCTATTGAGTTATATAGTTGTGCTTTGGTTACTTCTCCATGTATATATTATACTTCGATGCAAAATTTATAATAATAATAATAATGATGATGATGTTATCTCACCTTCTCATATGTGTATTTTCATACGTATGTAAGTAAAGGTCTGAATCTAAGGACTGAGTGACAATAAAAAGACTATAGAGGGCTAGCTGAGTGGCGCGATGGTTAAGAACTGGCTTGGGATGCCAGAGGGCCCTGGTTCGGATCCCACATATGAGGGCCAGTGACACTGCCCTCCACAGCTAAGATGCTGAACAACAGCTCAACCTGGAGCTGGGCTGCCGTGAGTCGCCGGCGACGGCGTAGGCTGCAGCCCCTGCTGCAGTGGGCTGCTATAAGCTACCGTGTGTGGCCGGCAGCCAGCGTGAGCAGCTGGCAGCCGGTGAGAGCTGGGAAGAGCAGTTGTGAGCGGCCATCCAGAGGCCGGTGACCAATCTGCCTCACCTGGGAAGAGCGCAATGATAATACCAACATGGGCCAGTGAAGCAACATCCTTCACAACTATACTGAAGAACAAAAAGGACAGCAACTTGCCTGTTCCCCTCCCCCAATTCCCCAATAAAATCTTAAAAAAAAAGAATCCAAAAAAATTAGGATCATTTAAGGGGCCTCTGGGACAACATCAAGTGTACCAACATTCCCATGATAGGGGTACCAGAAGGAGAAGAGAGACAGCAAGGAACTGAAAACCTATTTGAAGAAAAAATGACAGAAAACTTCCCTAACCTGGTGAAGGAAATAGATATACAAACCCAGGAAGTGAACAGAATGCAAAACAAGATGAACCCAAAGAGGCCCACACCAAGACACATCATAATTAAAATGCCAAATGTTGAAGACAAAGAGAAACTCTTAAAAGCAGCAAGAGAAAAGTAGTCAGTTACCTACAAGGGAGCTCCTATAAGACTGTCACCTTTTTCAACAGAAACTTTGCAGGCCAGAAGGGACTGGCATGGAATATTTGAAGTGATAAAAAACAAGGACCTAGAACCAAGATTACTCTACCCAATGAAGCTATCATTTAGAATCAAAGGACAAAGAGCTTCCCAGACATGAAAAAGCTAAAGGAGTTTATCACCACCAAACCAGTATTACAAGGAATCTTAGAAGGCTATCTTTAAGACAAAAATAAATAAATAAATAAATAGTATGAATACTAATCATTAGGGAAATGCAAATGAAAACCACAATGAGATACCACTTCACTCCAGTCAGAATGGCTATCATCAGTAAATCAACAAACAACAAGTGCTGGCGAGGCTGTGGAGAAAAGGGAACCCTG